AATATATATCGAGTGGGACCCCCAGCAAGGATTCAGAAACGAGAGTGACCACACTTTTGGAAGACTGTCGCAGTGTTCTGTCCCCGAACGAATTGGTGAAGGCGAAGAAGTTGTTACTCGAGTACGCCGATGTATTCTCATCAAACGATGCTGACATAGGAAAGACTGGTTTAGTTCAACACAAAATAAACACAGGTGAAGAGTTGCCTATCCGTCAGCGGCCAAGACGATTGCCGGTAGCACGTGAAAAGGAAGTGGAAACCATGATTGAGGGAATGGTGAGGGATGGTGTTATTGAACCTTCATCTAGTCCATGGTGTTCACCCGTGGTACTGGTAAAGAAGAAGGATGGCAGCATGCGGTTCTGTGTTGATTACCGCCGTCTGAACGACGTTACAAAGAAGGACAGCTATCCCTTGCCAAGAATTGATGACACGCTGGACATGCTTACAGGAGTAAAATGGTTTAGCACGCTGGATCTAAAAAAGTGGCTACTGGCAAGTTGAAATTGACCCTAAGGACAAGGAGAAAACTGCGTTCTCGACGGGAAAGGGTCTGTGGCAATTCAAAGTAATGCCGTTTGGGTTGTGCAATGCTCCAGCAACGTTTGAAAGGCTGATGGAACTTGTACTTACCGGGCTAATTGGCGATGCCTGTCTGGTCTACTTGGATGACATCATCATCGTGGGCCGTACGTTTGAGGAACACCTTCAAAACCTGGAACGCGTGCTCATGAAGATTAAGAGTGCCAACCTTAAGTTGAGTCCGAAGAAATGTTCACTATTCAAACGGCAAGTCAACTTTTTGGGGTATGTAGTGTCGGAAGAAGGTATCCGCACGGATCCAGAGAAAATCGCAGCTGTAAAGGATTGGCCGGTTCCAAAAGACAAGACGCAGGTTAGAGCATTTTTGGGTTTGTGCTCCTATTACCGACGTTTTGTGAAGAACTTTGCAGATATAGCCAAACCTCTGCATAAGCTAACCGAGGAGAAGCGACATTTCTGCTGGGATGAAAGTTGTAACATCGCATTCCAGGAGCTCAAGAACCGTCTGTGCAAAACACCTATTTTGGGATACCCTGATGCAAGTAAAGAATTTATAGTTGACACAGACGCAAGTGATATAGGACTTGGCGGTGTGTTGTCTCAACGTAATGGTGACCAAGAGGTCGTGATAGCGTACTTCAGCAAGTCGTTGTCAAAACCGGAAAGGAACTACTGTGTCACAAGACGCGAATTGCTAGCTGTGGTAAAGTCGTTGCAACATTTTAGCAAATATCTTCTGGGACGAAAATTTCACTTACGAACTGACCATGCTGCACTAAAATGGCTATTGCAGTTTAAAAACCCAGAAGGACAAGTTGCGAGGTGGATTGAACTACTGCAGGAATACGACTTTGAGATCGAACATCGCAGCGGGAAATCTCATGGCAACGCAGATGCATTGTCAAGAAGACCTTGTCCTGAAGATTGCAAACATTGTACTAGGCAAGAGAGTAAGGAAGTGGTATCCGTGAGGATGCTCAGGGCAGACCACCTCAGCAACGAGTGGAAGGACAGCTTACTACATGCACAGCAGGAAGATCCGGACATCAAGCCGATTCTGGAATGGATAAAGGCCAGTGCTCCCAAGCCCAAGTGGAGTGACGTCTCAGCGATGAGTTCGACCACTAAAAGCTATTGGGCCCAGTGGGACAGCTTGCTGCTTCAGGATGGAGTTCTGTGTCGTAAATGGGAAAACGTTCGGGGAGACAGCTGTCATTTGCAAATGGTTGTCCCTAAAGTTAAAGTACCGGATGTTCTACAGCTGTACCATAATGATTGTTCAGGAGGCCATCTGGGAGTTAAACGAACTCTACTGAAGATCCGAGAACGGTTTTACTGGGTCCACTGTCGAAACGATGTCGAGGACTGGTGTCGCAAATGTACAAGTTGTGCGGCTGTAAAGGGACCTCAGACTCGTAGTAGAGGTGCATTGAAGTTGTACAATGTTGGTGCACCATGGGAGAGAATAGCCATTGACGTGGCGGGGCCGTTTCCGGAGAGTGAAAGCGGTAACAAGTATTTCATGGTTGTGATGGATTACTTCACTAAGTGGCCAGAAGTCTTCGCCATTCCAAATCAAGAAGCTTCAACAGTTGCAGATAAACTAGTTCATGAAGTCTTCTGTCGTTTTGGAGTACCTTTAGAGATTCACAGCGATCAAGGAAGGAATTTTGAGTCTCAAATATTCCAGGAAACTTGCCGAGTTATGGGTACTCATAAAACAAGAACGACTTCTTATCACCCGCAATCTGATGGAATGGTGGAACGATTTAATCAGACATTGGAGAGGTACCTAGCAAAAGTTGTAGACAATCGGCAACGAGATTGGGACAAGCACATACAACCGTTTTTGTTGTCATATCGAAGTTCTGTTCACGAAAGTACAGCAGTGACACCAGCTTTCGCAAACTTTGGAAGAGAATTACGGCTGCCTGCAGACCTGATCACCGGGATACCACCCGATGCTCCACGCAGTATAACCGATTATGCAAATGACTTGCGGAAAAAAATGAATGACGTTTATGAGCACGTCAGACAATCGGGCCAGCAAATGTCTGAAAAGATGAAAACCCGGTATGACCGCAAAATGAACAACAAAGGGTTCGACGAAGGTTCACTTGTGTGGTTGCACAATCCAGTCCGCAGCAAAGGGAAATCTCCTAAGCTTCAAGCTAAATGGGACGGCCCGTACCGGATTGTAACCAGGATCAACGATGTGACCTACCGGATACAGAAAGGCGCAAGAGGGACTCCTAAGATCGTCCATGTGGATCGCTTGGCGCGTTATTATGGGACCGATAATGCTCGGGACGAGCATGTCTTAGGAGGGGGCAGTGTTGCATGAATAAGTCAACTAGCGCCATCTAGTGTCAGGAACGAGAGCGAGGGGAGCATTGAGAAAATGACATCACAAATCGCTCAACTGACAGCGCCTAGTCGAAACTCGAACGCTCGGTACCTTCCGCGTGTTTACTTGAACATTCTGGATATTTCTTTGCTAATTTAAATATATAGGCGCTGCAAGATGCGATGGAGGCAGTGTTGATTTGGGCGAAACAAGCGAAGCTTCGGAGTGGAATTAAGTGAATTAGTGTGTTTAAATTATTAGTGTTTTAACTTTAATTGTGTAAAGTAAATTAAAGTGTTAATTTAGGTAATTTTATCGGCAATTTTTATTGTCACGAACCTCAAGCTCGTAACAATATGCAAATGAGCTTATCTTAAAACAATAGAGAGCTACATGCGACACATAAACAGGTACATAAAAATAAACTATGACAGTATTTCAATAAAGATGAATAATATAACGAATAGCTGTAAAGTATGAAATGTTATAATTAAGAGAAGGCTTAATAGTGATGTTCCATAGAGGTGCAATTAAATTTTGGATGTAGACGATAGATATGTAGCTGCATTACCAAACTGTATCACCGATTTTGTTATCATCAGTTTTCTAAATTGCCTCCCACTGTGGAAGCAAATTTAAGGACGTATTCACGTCAAAATATCCTCAGAGTAACGTATCTGTAGCCACCTCGGTCTGAAATAAGTTGCAGGTATAGTAGAAAAAAGGTTCTCGAGTGGCAGCCTCGTAACGGTAGGCGAAGTGTAGGGCGACCCCCCACTAGATGGAGTGACGACCTGCCAAGACATGCAGGAAGTCGATAGATGCAGGTGGCTCAGGATCGTGCTTTGTGGCAAACTTTGGGGGAGGCCTATGTCCAGCAGTGGACTTGTGAAGAGCTGTAATGATGATGATAGTAGAAAAAACATCTTTAGTAATATTACGTGAGGGTAATCAATCAATCAGTCAATCAATATATACTTTATTGTACACTAATACACATAGGAAAGAGACAAAATGAAATATGTGTAGAACTTTCTTATAACTCAAAAACTACAACCTTGTTTGCATAGATGGCGCTGTGATACAATAGCTATTCATCAGTAAATCAATAGGTGCGTTTGGCAGAATAAAGCGCTAGCAAGCGCTTACAAGCACTGAAATAGTTTTCGGCCAGGACACGATTGCTACTTCAGTAGCGCTGATACAATCCGCCATTTTGCTTTTTTAATTTGTTTTTTAAAAAAGTAATTTTAAAGTTTTTTTTGTGCTTTTTTGGGGAACGGAAAACTAGACTAATGATCGGTGTTAATTTTGGTTAATTTTATACTTTAAACACATTTAGATAAAATTTTTTTTTCCTCTTCGGTGTTAGTTGTTTAGCAAACTGTAGAGTTTGCTAAACAAAAAAACCGGCACGGAGAAAGGGACAAACAATCACACCGCTCTATCTTATTTCTATGCAAGACGTATGCATAAATCTATCTTTTTCGTGTGCGAATGCGAAAGAAGGCGTCAATTTGTCTATAGGTTTCTCTGTCTACGGTTTTAAGTAATATAATGACATGAATAGACATATACATGTTATTAAAAATTCATAATTGGTAAGTTTTTAATATGAATACTTTACAAACATATATTAGGTTAGGTTCCCCGGTTAAAACTAACTTCGTGTCCTAGAGGAAAATAGTTACTTACGATTTGACAGCGCTTACCGCTTACGATCGCCATTTTGCTTACAAGCGCTTGCTAGCGCTTTTTTGTGCCAAACGCACCCAATAACAAAGGGTCAAAAGGGCGCTGCTTAATCGACGCCATTTTGTTTGTTGACATTATCGTAAATATTTTAGTCGATTTTAGTATTGTGTAATGTACGTATTTTTAAGTGGATTTTTCGAAGTGTTCCTAATTATTGCTAGAGCTTGTTTGTTATTTTTTTTTTCTTAATAAGTTAGTTACAGTATACGACTTTGTGTTTTTGTCTCTGTCCTTCTCCTAGTTTTGGTTTTATAGGGCGGCAAAGCTTAAGGTGACCATATTACGCTCACGTAGCTTATTAGAGGTTATCACTACTAGCAATAATTTAATATGTCTCTTCTATTCGCTTTCAGAGATCAGGAGCTCTGCACAAATATGACGAAGGTCGGGAGACAAATGAGAAGGTACATAAATTATGCTTAGCAAAATATTTAACAATAAAACTGTAAATACCAAAAAAAAATTACCATTTTGCATTATAGTATTCACATAATATATTGTAATATTCAGAACTGACGGATCTGATCTGATCGAAGTTTTATAAGCCTTGGTAGCTCTTAGGGCCGATTTACACTTCGACAAGTACAGGAGCAAGTTTAGTTACAGGGCAGTTGAGAGTAAACGGTTAAGTGGGCAGTAGCGTTCAAATGTCTTCGTGGCGTTAAGTTAAAAAAAAGTACAATTTTATATTTTGAGGATTGAACGCCAACACATTGCGTCCTGTCAACTTATGCACTGAACTAAACTCGCTCGTTCACTCAGCGGCCAGTTTAATTGCGGGAGGTCAACACTTCGAACCTGACTCGCCGAAAAAAAAAACCGGCCGGTTATCCCGTTAAACTTAATTGTTAATTTGCTACTTAACTCACTGATTGCCGTTCAAACGAGATTTTTTACTTAACTCGCCAGGTTCGCAAGTTAACTCGCTACTGTACTAGCCGAAGTGTAAATCGGCCGAAAGAAAAGCTATACGGAATAGGCAATTTACTATAAAATGAGTATTGTTTCGATGGCATCGAATTTGACCAAAAGGCCTGCAGGTATCGCGTTATTAAAAATATATAAACTTACTGGCCATACACAGAAGAATAAAATAAATAAATTACTACATACGCTGTAAAATATATTAAGCCGTTTGTCCGCAATCATGTATTATATATTATATTAATCTAAAGATTTCTATGTATACCACTAGAACTAGAGAGCAAATCAGAACAAGAACTGAATGGGTAGCTGACATGGTAACTTTGCCACCCAGTTGTATTTTCATTTATGACAGTTCTTTTTTTTAGGCAAGTACGAAATAAAGTTACATACTTATCAGAAACAAACTTCAAATCACGTTGACGCACATAAAGTAATAAAGTGCGCACATAGATAATGACAGCGTTTCCTTAGTCACATTAAACGAAATCAGTGTTAGATTGTCGAAAACAACGTTCGCGGTCCACAAAACAAAGAACTAGTCTTCTCGATCGCTCGCGATCGACTAAAGTGTAGCCATGTCGATCTGAGATTGATTAATCGAAGAATCGATTAGTTATGCGAAAAAGATCTATTTTAATCGATATATAGTATTGAATCGATCCAATGAATCGATATTTCACCCTAGAAAATCGAGATCGAATCTTTTTCTGTTTCCATAAGAATTATAATTTTTTTTGATTAGATTGTACCCAAACTCGTAAAGTACGAGTTTTTCTATTCAAAAACTAACAAAACTGCTGTGGTCAGTTTCTTTCGCCTCTTAATACAATAAATCAATAAAAATAAATTACGTTTGTTATCTGTACTTTGTCATACAAAAAAAAATCTGAAAGCAAATCGAAAAAGATCGATTTTTGAGAAATCAACCTTTTAGGCCTCGATTTTTTTATGAATCGATTCATCAGATTTCGAATCGGTCTTTCGGAAAGAATCGACATCCCTACTAAAGAGATTACGGATAATTGATTTTAATTTAGGCCACAATGTATTAACACCGTAGTGCCCGTCTAGTAATATACATAGAAATCTTTGTATAAATCGAAATAAATGTCCAACCCAAATAATGTACGGTGCTTTTTACGTATAATTTTAATCATTAACCTTTTATAATCAGGTGTTGAAATGTGACCACGAATTGTGACGTAGTAATTGTTTAGTTTACGAAGTTATTTTTTAAGTGAGATGTTATAATAAGGCTAAATCTTAGATATGTATCAGTCGTGAATGGTTCGTTCATTTGATCCGGGTCGCATCAAAGTATAGATGATTGCAATAACATTTCACAAACGATTGACAGGATCTACGATCAAAGAGTATACTAATGTCCGACAACCAAGTGAGTCTCAGATCACAGAGTATTGTAACTCGACATGATCCACTTGAATGATCGATGAGAGAATGGTCACTAGAAATGAACGAATGACACACGTCTACTATATTATATTTAAAATATGACGTATAGTTTAGTTATACGATTGATTTTATTTCAAATTTAGCAAACGTTTGAAAATAATTAATAGAATCGGGCGTTACTTTGTGGAAATCCATTACCTTAAAGTTGTTAAAAATCGATTACCCAAGGTTTGCGTAATTAAATAATATAAAATGTTGTGTTTTACCTAGTTTGAAGAGCACCTCACGCTCTCCCACCATTGCATGCACTATCCTCGTCACCACTACTCCCAACACCACTACACTAGGAAAGACACCATCGTCGATGATACGACACGTGTTTCGCTTCTACACGAAGCATTGTATTATTATTATTGGGGGGTATCAATATAGTTTTCTCATCTGGTTGGGTTCTATAAATATATAATTATAAATGGAAATGAAAATATAAATATACATAAATATCAATAAAATAAAATAAACACAAAAACTACATAAATAAATAAGATCAAACCAGATGGAGGCCCTCGGCAGGGGAGAGCAAACGGCCGAGGGTTAGGGGGAAAGGGAAAGAAACCGGCGGACGATGCGGGCGGTATCGAGGAGCACCGCCTTCTGCATTTGAGCCCGGAGCGGTCCGCCACGTAGTCCAACCAGATGGAAGCCCTCGGCAGGGGAGAGCAAACGGCCGAGGGTTAGGGGGGAAAGGGAAAGAAACCGGCGGACGATGCGGGCGGTATCGAGGAGCACCGCCTTCTGCATTTGAGCCCGGAGCAGTCCGCCACGTAGTCCAACCAGATGGAAGCCCTCGGCAGGGGAGAGCAAACGGCCGAGGGTTAGGGGGGAAAGGGAAAGAAACCGGCGGACGATGCGGGCGGTATCGAGGAGCACCGCCTTCTGCATTTGAGCCCGGAGCGGTCCGCCACGTAGTCCAACCAGATGGAAGCCCTCGGCAGGGGAGAGCAAACGGCCGAGGGTTAGGGGGAAAGGGAAAGAAACCGGCGGACGATGCGGGCGGTATCGAGGAGCACCGCCTTCTGCATTTGAGCCCGGAGCAGTCCGCCACGTAGTCCAACCAGATGGAAGCCCTCGGCAGGGGAGAGCAAACGGCCGAGGGTTAGGGGGAAAGGGAAAGAAACCGGCGGACGATGCGGGCGGTATCGAGGAGCACCGCCTTCTGCATTTGAGCCCGGAGCGGTCCGCCACGTAGTCCAACCAGATGGAAGCCCTCGGCAGGGGAGAGCAAACGGCCGAGGGTTAGGGGGAAAGGGAAAGAAACCGGCGGACGATGCGGGCGGTATCGAGGAGCACCGCCTTCTGCATTTGAGCCCGGAGCGGTCCGCCACGTAGTCCAACCAGATGGAAGCCCTCGGCAGGGGAGAGCAAACGGCCGAGGGTTAGGGGGAAAGGGAAAGAAACCGGCGGACGATGCGGGCGGTCTCGAGGAGCACCGCCTTCTGCATTTGAGCCCGGAGCGGTCCGCCACGTAGTCCCAGGCGTCTCAGATAACCCGAGAGGCTGACTGGGATTAGCATGCTTGCAGAGACGACTACAGGAATAATTTCGGTCGGCAGACCACCCCACATGTCAGTCACCTCGTGAGCCAGGTCCAGATATTTTGTTTGCTTATCTGTTTCGGCTTTCACGAGGTTCTCGTCATACGGAATGGTAATGTCGACCAAAAATATCCTTGACTGTGCCCGGTCCATCAGCACAATATCAGGCTTATTCGCAAGAATAGTCCTGTCTGTGATGAGGGCCCGGTCCCAGTAGAGCCTGGCGCGGTCATTTTCGAGCACGGCTTCCGGCAAGTACTTGTAATACGGCAATTTCCGGTCCACGAGACCGTATTTCAGAGCGAGCTCCTGGTGTAGAATTCTGGCTACTAGGTTGTGCTTGTGCAAGTACTCAGAGTTAGAAAGTATTAGTACTAGTACTTATTATTATTATTATTTAATTTCAAGTATCCAGGACTCATTTAATACATTACATTTTTTAAATTGTAATTATTTATAATAAAAATTTAAAAATTAAATACTATAACAAAATATAATGGGATTCATACATTTAATCCATTAATTTTTACTAAATGCTACATAATGCATATATCAAGCAGTCATTTAGCTGCTAGGCGCATGCAGTCTACAACAACATGCAGATAGGGACAATTCACTCTGTCGTCTATCATTTTAAGAATGCCATTGGGGCTGGCCCTTACGATGCAGCTCTTTTACGCAAAATAGCGTTAAAACAATCTACATGTGCTTGAGCAAACATCCCTGATGCGTTGCAGCGTCGGGACAGCCCCATCAACGATCAGCATCACCATATTCAGGTGAAGTAGACTCTGCGGTGTAATGGTGTTGGGAATAGTGGCGCTGGGATCGGTGGTGATGGGGATAGTGAACGCAATTGAGGTAGGGTGGGGGGCGCCCTTCAAACTAGGTAAGACATATCATTTTATTTTAGTACTCGGATTTTAACTGATTGATTTTCAACAACTAATATAGTGGATTTCCGTAAAGTAACTCCTGATTCTATTAATTATCCTAATATGGTCAAGAAAATGAATTAACATTAGTACCGTAATACGAAGGAATATCTATAAAAAAAAAATGTTTAACTCGTGTTATAACAAATAAACTTGTATATAAAATTTGATTTAAAAGTGAGTGCAATATGTTGAACCTGATAAAAGTTGGACGAGTCAAAGCTAAATGCCGATCCTCCAGGAAACGGCCTTTCATGACGTAATATTTTTAAGACTGAAATATTTGATTCAGTAATCATTTAAGTTATTTGTTGAGTGGTGAAACTTACGTTAGTTATATAACCTCTCAAAGTTACATATACCAAAATCAAAGATAATATTTTATATTTTTAACGGTTCTCCTAAAGCGCAAAGTAATTTTATTATCTATGGTTGAGACAAAATGGATAGCCATATTGTCTCAACCATAGATAATAAAATCGCTATTAGAATTTCAAGTGAAATCGATTATTTTATTTTATTATTTTGCCCTTTAAGTGTTAAAGTACTCCGTTTTAAATAGTAAATTAAATAAAATTATATAATGGAGTGTTTTATGCAACTTCATTCACTTAGGAATGGTTAAATTAATAAATCATAAGAGATTCCCTCGGGCATAATCACCAATTGGTTAT